CAGTGGTTCATCAGAAAGAATGCAGTCTGGACTATGCTATGAACAAATCTGTGGTCCAAGGGATCAGAGAGTTTCTGTATGTTTTGCATCAAATTTTGCTAGAAAGCCTGTATATTTTATCCAGTTTTAGTAAAAACCAAACTTACTAATTTTTTATAGGTTCCTTAAAGTCAATATATAAACAACTCCATGTTTTCTACTTGCTTTCAGGAACTGTTATATAGTTCAGAACATCTATCAAAGGAACACATGACCAAAACTTGACTAGATACTTGGTCTATTCTGTTCCAACTTTAAACTACTTACGCGTGTAACACTGTATAAATATTTTCTGGAAAGTTCTTTTTGAGCTACATTGGTTTATCTGCTGGAAATCATACTCTAATTTTTGGTCTAAGCATTTTTTACAGCATTTCTTATCCACTTGAACAAACATGAGTTTTAATTTCTACAGTTTTTCAAACTTGTTACTGTTTCTCACCTGATGCATTTACAGTAAAAATAAGAGCTTCCCCTCTCAGTTATTAAGTTGTTAAGTTTTCTGTTCGGAAGGCCTTGTCCCTGACTATTTTGCCAGTCAGGAGTTCTTCTCTGTCTGTTCCTATAGCTCCCATGGTGCTTCTGTAGCAGGATCTATATCATTCAACTAAATCACTACTTGTCCCTCCATGGACACCAGTGCTCSACAAAACTTCCCTAATTAGAGAGGAGGGAATCTCAGCCATTCCTCCTCAGAACTGCAAACTACTGCAATATTGGATAATGGCTTCACATGTTACAAAAAAGTATCTTTGTTTTCTCATCTTTATAGTGATAGGAATATCATTACATTATCATAAGGTATTCAGCACTTAAAAGTCCTGTACAACTGCAAAAGAAAAGTCACATCTCAAAGCCCAGCAAAATAATAATATAACGATGTACAAGTTGCTGAGATACTTCTCTGAAAATAAATGATCATAAATTTAACTTACATATAAAGGAGAGTACATAAACATGAAGGATAATGTATGGTGCTCTGGATTTGTGCCTCAGTGATAACAACACGCCACCCTTTTACCTACTGCCAAGTACTGCTTGCACAGTTTCAATACGCTGATTTGGCCAGACAATAACAATTGTAATTTTATGAGCAGGATACTAATTAAAAGTTGAGCTATAGGTAATTAAATAATTATTGGTCTTCTTGCTTTATTATATGTATTGGAGGTTAGGAACCCCCATTTGGGAGTTTTTGGAGTACCTAAGGGTGTACAAGTGAATCCAAGACTTGAAAAAGCAGCATGTAACTGTGTAAGTATGCAGAATATTTTTAAAAACTTGTGTAAATCAAATTTGTAAGTTAGTTGAATGTTAATCGTCTAATTATTAAAAGATACTATTTCCAGTATAACTGATAAATATACTTTAACTTTTACTCTTGCAGCTTGAACTCTCTCTCAATATAATATACACACATACATATTATTTTCACATATATATACAGGTAAATATATGTATATATATGTATGTGTGTGTGTGTGTGCTTAAAAACAAAAATCAGAAGAAAAACTAGGCAGGAAACAAATCCATTATATACACCTTTCTTTCCCATAAGGAAAATTTTTTACAGTTTCTACAGGTATGTACTGTGAACAGAGATGAACATTAAGTTTCCTGTGTTGCCCTGTGCTGCTCAATTTTATTACCTTTACTGATAGTATTCTGTGTTATATAACCTTGTAATAAAATAGTAGCATTAAAATTGTGAGGAGATTTGCCGGCTCCAAACATTTCAGATACACCTRTGGGGAAAAGGGCAAGATTTGTGAGGTCACATGTGGCTCCATCCACCCCACCCCCTAGAGCCCTGATGTATCCCAGCCCTGAAGTGGCTGTCAATTCCTGGCACACCGTAGGCAATGCTCCACAGCTGCCCCTGGAGCCCYTAATCCAGGCCCAGAGCAGCTGCCAGATGGGAAGCCCCACCAGGAGGAAGGGCCCAGGAAAGCCAATGGGTACGCAAGCCAGAGCACGAGGCAAGTGCATGTCTTGACCCTACCACCCATATTAGCTGAAACACTGCTGAAACCTGAGTGGTTATTATATTTGCTCATTCCTATGTATTTTCTTTCTTTCTTTCCCCTTTTCTCTCTTTCCCCTTTTCTCTCTTTCCCTTTCTTCTAATTCCTTCTTGAAGTTCTTCTAATTTCTCCTTCTTGAAGTAAAGTAAAATTGGATGGGTTGAAGTTTGTTAAGTTGAATGGAGCTTGCTAAGTTAATGTTTTATGAAACACTTTATGTTGATTCAGTGTTGCTTAAAAGTTTTTCTGAAGTTCCCTGGTTTTCTCAAGTTTGCCAGTTAACTTCGGTTGTTTTCACTCTTGAGCAATATCTTGTCGGTGTTTCTTCCTTGCATGTAACTCAGGGTACATAAATAAGCTTCTGTAAGCCCCTGAGCGAGAGAATTCTGGGGCCTTACCACTATCCAAATCCTTAATTTGAAAGATTTCCTAGACACTTTTACTTTGAAGATCACAGGAATGCATGGATTAGATTCCCATCTACGGGTGAAGCCARGAATGAGTAGTAGACAACAATTCATTCCCTTTTTAACCAGCCCTAAAAGCCTTTTACCTTCCCCTAACCACCAACCAATTAATCTGCCTAACACCTGCAGGCTCTGGGACAATGCTCTCATAACACCCTCTCACCTAACTGTCATTAACTAGGTTAGGGGAGCATTTCCCTTGTAAATGAGTCCCCTAAGCATTTTCACTTCTTTTCTGCAAAAGAAAGACCATGCTTTTTTTACTTCGTATGCATCTGACAGTATTTTCTCATGAAATATGATGAAAAGGAAATATATATCATTTCAATAACACTGTGAACTGGTAAAGTATTTTTGCCTGCACAGACATATTCAGGGAAAGCTTTAGCATGTGTCAAAGAAAGGAGTAATTAAAATATTATGGCACTACACTTTATAAGCTGATGATTCTGCCTGTAGTTTTGTTTAACTCATCTCAGGAAGCAAACAGTAGAAACAGAGTAAGTCCACCATAAATAGGAGGCCAAAATAATCMCACACTCAGTCAACTTGAATATAAACTCTTGTGCACAAGCAAGGCTCAAATTTACACAGTTCTACGAAGGATCATGAAGAATCACCTTAAGAAAGGGCTCACTTGAATCTTACTGCAAAGCTTGCTTCAGTAGCCACAAGAATAGCCAGAATTGTACTAGCCTGCTGGAAGGTAAGAGCAGACATACTTTAGCTATGCTAAAAATAGAGTCACATAAAAAACAAGCTGTGTTGGAGATGCTGGCTGCTATTGCAGACTCTGGATCAGTTATTCTACTTTATGATCACAGTGAATCTAAACGATCTGTTGGTCTGTAGTTGAAATAATAAATCCAYGAGCTAATTATTAATGGCTTGCATACTGTCACTTCTAGATAAGAATTTCCRTAACATGTAGAAGGGCAACAAATGAAGACATTTTGAAATTAGGAAAGATGACAACAATTAGAGAATTTATTAAATAAAAAAAAAATAGATATGACAAGGGTGTGAAATGCAGAGAAGGACAGAGTATGTATACACATGGCTTCTTCCTAGCCTTTATAAAAAGATCAAAAGAAAAAAAAAATGTGTTTCAAGAGAACAGTGAATACGAAGTGGCCACACCAAATGTTTCCTCTGCAGATCACAGCATCTTTTGCTCCCTTTGGCTCACACTGATGAAAATAACATGAAGCGAAGTTTAAGAACCAGTTTGAGTCTAGGAGTTTCTATGATGATCTCTTTTAAAAGGACAAACAACTTTATTTTTAATAATGGACATGAGAAAGCAATGAATAGGAAAACCATAAAAAAAAAAGAAAATTAATACTGAATTATCTCTGACATTTAACATAAAGATGATACTACTGGGTACAGACCAAAAAGTCTGTGAAGTTTCACATTCTGTCTAGTAATGAGTAACAGAGGACATCACGAAGAGAACTGAGTAACAAATTCTTGCTGGCATGACTCTTTTTGTRCAATTGCATTAAACTTTTGGAAAAGAGCAACTAGATGGGGAAAGAAGTCATCTTATCAGAACTAAGACAGAAGTAAATGGTACAAATATTTTATATATGAAAKGAAGGAAGAATTAAATGTTTAAGACTAACTGTTAGTGATAAATTGAGAATATGGGATAAAAACCTCAAAACATTTTTCACACGCAAATTCACACACGTTTGAAATTGTCACTCTAGTCTCTAGATAAACAGTCCAGTTCAAAAGGTGGTACTGATAGAACCATATTAGATGTTATCAGGAAGGTTTAGAATTAATAAGGGAATGTCTTAGCTGAGTTCGCAACATGTAGGTTTTCCAGTTTTCACAAATGGCAAATATTTTTTTAAAAAATCCATCTAAATTTTTCTGATTTTAAGGACGTGCTGTTTCTGAATTTAGTAAGTATTGACTCTGCAATAAATGCACCTGCCTAAAATTTAATTAMATTATTTAAATTAAAAATTAAGCAGTTACATTTCACAAGCAAAAAGGCAATAAAATATTAAAAGAAGTTTTATTAATTAAAAACTGTAAAGGAAACACTACCTATTTCTACCTACACTTGTCATGCTCTGAACTGAATTTAAGCTACTTTGCAACTTGAGASTAAATTCTAAATTCCTAAATTCTGTGCTGAAATTTCCCTTAGCAGTATAGGTTTGCAAAAGTTACTAATTTATTTCCAAAGCATTATTTAAGTGCAATATCAACATAAAGTRATATACCTCTGCCTCAGATAAATTATACTCTTCAAAATAGGAATTGAAAGCCATCTGACTATGGATCAAATACTACAGAAAAAAAAAAAAGTAGCTCCATTTAAAAACTGCATATTTAAAAAGAAATGTAAAATTTATACTATAGAATTCACCACTAAAATCTTCATGTATTCACTATTACAAAGTCAAAAAKACAAAAGAAAAATGTGATTATTTTCCGAGAATCCCATTACCTGTGTGTCAGCAGCACCCTGAAGGCCATCTGATTCAGTCCCAAATGACCAGGCAGCAAGTGTGACCAATCCCAGTTCCATTCAGTAATGGCTGACTGTTGATACATGGCAAGATGCTGGTTAGTTATTAATCAGCATTATTATGATCAGTACATTAAAGCTCCAGCTGTGATATACTAACCAAGGAGGGGGGTCAAGAATGAGAGCTTAAAAAGATGATATCAATCATGTCCACAGAAGGTTTTTATTCCAGTGAGACAGCAATTAAATAATTAATTAATTAGGGATGTAGCCACTATTTATAAAAAGATAAATCAGTTTTTTGAACCATTATTCTTCCAACTGTTGACAGCATTTTGAACAACTACTTTGGCTAAGAGCTTGAATCTTTGTCTGTAAAGTAAAATAATTGGCCACTATTTRTGTAACAGCAATTTGCATTTTCTGCAGCCAGCAAATTTTCTGGTGAAAAACTTGGTGTAGCTAGGATTCAAGAAATTACCTGTATTATAGTTGGACTGAAGGTGTAGCTGTCTATTGTTTTGCAAAGCACTTCAGTCACCCGATGGTTATTATAGACAGCATTAGATTTAGGCAATATGAACAAATATAAYTTCATATCAGCTTTTATGTATATAACAGCAATCTACAATAACAGTGGGCAAACAAAAGATCACACAAAACATTCTTATGTTTACAAAATATTAAATACATAATTATTAAATGCTTAATATTCCTTTTCATCGTCAGCAATGGTCAAGTAGTGACTATAATTCAACATTCTTGGGAGGAAATAAAGACAAAGTTATTTTGTTACTCTAAAATAGCACTGAATAGTTTCAAAAAAGGGTTAAGCAAGTCAAAACAATGGAACTAGACCTAAGTAACAGCAAAGTAGAACTAGCAGTGCTAGCTCTTTTTCTTCTTAAGACAGTACTTGGTTCCTCCAGGAGAGCAGAATCAGTGCAATCCCTCCTAGTCCTTCCATCTTTATTACTTTGCTTCTTCTTACTTACTTTACTCCCTAACTCCCTCTCTTTGGTATGCATGTTAAAGTAAAATAGAAAAGCAAAAGCGAAATACAGAGTACAGAAGCAGGAAAAAGGGTAACAAGAAAAAATAAAACACTGTGMAAGTGGAAAGTGAATGAATAAGAAAAGGTGAACATCTGATAAACAAGAAATAGAGGGAAAAGATTCAACTAAGAGAACAGTGTGAGAAGAACATGGGAGAAAACAGGATACTATTCTGCACTCGACACTGAATTAAAAATAGATAATGGAGGATATAAAATCAAGAGGGATAAACAGGAGAAGCTAAACAGTCAGTAGCAACAGTCATGAAAACAAAGAGGAAAATTTTTAAGTATACCAGATAAAATTCTGACACAGACTGATCGGTTCTGTGAAAAAAATAAATGATTAGTTTGAAAAAAAGCCACTTCAGGAAAGGAAATAATTTCTTTCTAGCATTGATTTATGCTGTTGTATATCCTAACAACAGAGGAGCAATATTAGCTCCTTAGACAACAGAGGAGTAGCACAAGTGGTGCAGATTGAGGTACCAGGACAAATTGGTAAAATCAAGAGCAACAAGTTACTGGGCCAGATGATAATTATTTCAGACTTTTTAAGAATGTAAAAATGAAGTGTATAAATTGTTACCAGAAATTACACACTTTCTAGAATCAGCTTCCGAACTAGACAGCTGGAAGGTAAGAAATTCACTTATCATCAACCAAAATGCTAGTTGACCTTAAAATAGCAGTTCTGTGATCCTTGTTTCAGGAGAAGTAAAGTTCAAGAAACTATGATTAAGTACCTTGCTAACTTTGACATGAACGGGACAAATTAGGAAAACCTTAGAAGAAAGCTGTTAAGGAGACTTTCCTGTATGACCATTCAAGAGCACCCTGGCAGTCACACTCTCACCACCAAGAGGCTTCAACAGCTAAAACTGAGGCCCTTCGCATGAGGCCAGTAAGTTGATAGGTCCCTGCCTGAATCTGTGCACATCCCACTCCCACATAGTCAGGCAAGGTTTCCCATGGGAGAGTTTCAGATGTCTGGTTGTTTAAAGCAATTTTATCACAATGCAACAACAGAGTAACAACTCAAGTTCTTGCCGGGGCTGTTACACCTTCTCACAGTCTAAGCACTCTGTGGCCTGGTGTCTTCCAGCTGAGTCATTGGCCCGTGCCATGTCTCTGAATGTGTAATTGCCTAGCCGGTCCCACAGGTACTTTGTTGTACAAAGGTATGAGGCCAATTAATGGCCTCTTGCCTTGGGCTCATGMCATTTCCCCCACCCAGAGCTCAATCTACAGCTGTCACAGTACCTCCATACTGACCTATCTCCACTAAATGCATTTCTCAACAAAAATAGTAAATGATGTACATATACCAACAAAGAATACACAGAATATTTACTACAAAATATTTTTTAGAAAGCCTCTGAATTAATTTATTTTAAGAAATCTTTTACTGCAGAAGCTAAGAGTATGTCTACACGGCACAGTGTAGACATGCTCTTATATGATTATGTAATTATTTTTATATATTATATTTTATATAATACACTGTATAGCATAATGTAACATAAATTCTCTGTTTAGAGCTGAGACACTAAGCCATATCATCATGTCTATTCCAACTGGCCCTTCCGAGAGAAACTTTTTAAAAAGCAATACATAATTAATTAAATGACAAAATACATTGGGAAACCAGTACCTTGTTCTCACTTAGTACTTATGGAAGTATAAAATTTAGACTGATAAAAATACCAAGTTACAACAGACTTTACTTGAAAGTAAAAAATTAGTCATGGATTATAAATTCCTAAGCTTCATGGCAGTTGCCAACCAGTAACAAATTAAGAAGAAATCCAGACTTTGAGAAGAATAATTGTTCCTTGCCAATGCTCAGGCATTTCTACAAGCAGTGGTAATAATTTTCACAGGAAACCAKACACTCAGCTATACTGATCAGTTTTATAAATGAACAGTCCTACACCACTAAATAAATATGCAATTTTATGGTAAAGGGAACTAAAGGAACATTATTAAGCTTGGAAATAGAACCAGAGAAGAGAATCATAGAATGGTTTGGGTTGGAAGTGGMATGAAAGATCGTTCCACCCCCTTGCCATGGATAGGGCACATCTTTCAGTAGAATAGGTTGCTCAGAGCTCTGCCCAGCCAGGCCCAGAATACTTGGGGCATCCACAACTTCTCTGGGCAACCTGTTCCAGTGCCTCACCACCCTCACAGTAAATAATTTCTTTCTAATATCTAATCTAAAACTACTGTCAGTGAGTTTGAATCCATTCCCCTTTGTCCTGTCTCTACATGCTCATGTAAAAAGTCCCTCACCATCTTTCTTGTAAGCTTCTCTCAAATACTGCGAGGCTGCAAACAGGTCATCCCAAAGCCYTCTATTTTCCAGGCTGAACAATTGCAATCCTCTTAGCCTTTCTTTGCAGCAGAAATACCCCATCCCTCTAATGATCTTAGTGTTCTTCCTCTGGACTTATTCCAATAAGTCTATGTCCTGTGCTGGGGACCCCCGAGCTGGACGCAGCACTGCAGGTGGGGTCTCACCAGAATGGAGCAGAAGGGCAGAATCAACTTCCTTGACTTCCCGGTCACACTTCTTTTGATGGAATCCATGGTACAATTGGCTTTCTGCGCTGGATATGRGGAAGAACTTCTTTATTGTCTGGGTGACCAAGCACTGGAACAGACTGCCCAGMGAGGGCAATGAGTCTCCCTCACAGGAGACATTCAAGAACCATCTGGATGCAATCCTGTGCCCCTGTGCTCTCCCTGCTTGAGAAGGGAGGTTGGACCAAAYGAACCACTGTGGTCCCTTCCAACCTCACCCATTCTGTGGTTCTCTGATACCTGATTGATACTTCCAACTCAAGCTATTCTATGATTCTGTTGATTAAAGGATTCTATAAAGCATGATACTCTGCAGTGAGAAGCCTTGAGAAGCCTAGTGGAACTAGTATTTGCCTCCTTTTTCAGGATATTTAYGCTTTTATTGCAACATGACAGTGATTAAGTGTTCATTAAACAAGTAAGAAAAACAAGTGTATTTTACAGCAATATAACTGGTGAAATAGTCCAAAATTATCAAAAGTGGGATAGGAGATTATACTGTATATAAACAGAGCTACACTGAAAACGTCTGTATTCATTGTAAAGTGAATTTCATGTCACTGTAATACCACTTCTTTTGAAATATTTGAATTGAGGGTTTGAATCAAAAGTGTGGATGACATATTAAGGATATATGGGAAATAATGGCATAARATTGTTTAAGTATCAAAATGATATCAGATACTACATACCATTTGGAGTAATGAATTGGTCATTGCATGCTCCAGCAGAGATTTAGGCAATTACATCTCTTTTCTTTAATTGTTCCATTATCAGGAAACTAAATTCTACAAGTAAATTATAATCTTTTGCACATTACAAGTATGTCTTAAGGAAAAACAGARAAATGAATGCTTCCATGTTTTATTTTTGTTTTACCTCTGCTTAGTCTCACTGTTCTGTAAATCTTTGCAAAGAATTCTTTACTTAACTGTTGTACATTTCTGTGAAAGACCCATCAGGAAGATTCTAAATGTGAACTTAGAATTTTGACATGATTTTTTCAAAGGAATAACACTAACCTTTGGTACTGTTGCACAGATGTAATGTCATTGTTACTATGGCTTTCCCTCACTATACTGAACACAGAAAGTATAAGTAAATGCAAACTGCTATTACATGCAATAACTCCGATAAAAGAAAAGGATGGTAATGGCTTTCTGAACATCATGCTATTGTAGAGGGTACCCTCATTAGATTACCMAGAAATAATATTCCTTTCTGCTTCAGCAAATATGAACACATGTAATTAATTCCATTTTCATAAATTCAGTCTCTGTCGTTACCATCATCATAATAAGACAACTAAAAATTATACTATAACCAAGGTTTCAGATTTTCACAAACCTGATTGAATACTTTTGCACAAGATTGTCTGTACACCTCAAAAGGGTTGAAAACAGGCTGCTCTTCTCTGCCCTTCAGCGTCAAAGGCAGGCATTGACTGGAGGTAACACCGTCTTCAGAAGAATTCTCACAAGACAGCTGCTCTTTCAAATATTCCTTTTGGAAGAAAAAGCAACCACTGAATAGTACCGACCACCTAGCTTTTAAAGTGAAATCTGTCTATATTTTAAGCATAATTTTACAGTACACTTGATAGAAGTGGGGATTAAACAATCTCTTAAAAAATAGAAGGCTTTTTAAAAATATCAAAACCACTTCAGAACAAACAAGAAATAACCTCCAAAAACATGCACCAACTGAAGCAAAACAGAACAATCTACCCTATTGTTTTGAAATTGTTCTCAAATTATAAGTTCTCATTTAATAGATATGTTAGGTGCATGTAGAAGTGAACAACAAATATTTTTATTACTTCCTAATTAAAATTTTTGGACAAYATTCAACACTTACTGTATGACTATAAATCAATTATTTGATGAACATGTTCCAACCAGCTATTTAACACAAGAAATAAATATTCTCCCACTCTTCAAAGCTATTTTTAGCTGCTTAAGCATTCAAGGACTAGAAGTAGTTTATGATTTGCATGGTAATTTTAGAAACTATACTGTAACAGATGCATGATTATTTTGGACACAATCTTTTCTGTTTTCACTTCTTCAACTATTGTGTAAATAAATCATCATTACAGGCCAATAAAGTGTTTTGATTAAATAGAAGCGTTTTACCAAGAACTAGATAATGAAACATTTACACAAGTATTTGCTGCAAGGACTACTGTGACTAAACAGTTTATTGTTATTAAAATGAAGTCCATAACATTGAAGTACTCAAGGTGAGTCATTAAGATAGGTGCATGAAAATGCTTCTCTTATTTGCAGTACTACTGAGATGAAATAACATGCAAACTACCTGCCAAGGCACCCTCTGCCCCTCAGTAAGTCTTTCTAAAAGAAGAATTTCATCATCTGTTTAAACTTACCCAATTACCGCCTGACCTGAAAGACACAAGTCCACTTTCAATCCACACAGACTGTAYGTGTTTTGTTCCCCTTGTTTGTACTAGCATATATTGCGAAATCAGCCATTAAAAAAAGAAAAGTTTCATCCAGATAAAGAAGCCACAGTTCTAGTACTAGTACAAAGCACAGGGCCCAGCAGCCGAAAAGCACAAGGGCAAGAGAAAGGGAAGGACTACTTCTCTGCTTGTTGCAGCCAAATGTCATGTCTGCCGAAAAGAATCACGGAAATGCCTTAAAAAAAAAAAAAAAAAAAAAAAAAAAAAAAAAAAAAAAAAAAAAACCAAAAAAAAAAAAAAAAAAAAAAAAAAAGGCAGAAAGAAAAATGGTTTTTTAGCTTAAAACAAGACTGCAAATCAACTGCAAATCTCTATGTATTTTTTTCTCAGCTTTTTCTCAGCTTTTAAAAATGCCTGAATTTTTATTTCCAAATTCATTCATTACTTTATGCTTTAACAAAGATTTTAGACCCATGGTGACAGAAATTATTTAAAAGTTATTTCTATACATCTACCAAATTTTCATAAACATGCTGCCTTCCATGTACACATTTTTACAAAATGTGAGACAGCACTAAAGCTACCTGGCCCTCTGGATGTAACAAAACCCACAGAAGCAGATCGCGTTGCCTTTTCAGTAGCAATACTGGAAATAGCTGCCCACGTGTTGCCAGATGAAGAACTATTTGCTCAGCTGGTGGACAAATACAATGTTTATTTTGCAAAACCGGTGGTCTGCAGAACAGCACAGTACTTATTCTGTAGGATCATGCTGAACATCAACAAAACAATGAACCAGCCCAGGTATGCCATCTCAGCTCCATATTGGGATAGCAACACCAGTTTACTCCGTGGTCACCTGTAACTTGGAGGTCTCGACCACCAGAGACCACCAGACGGACCCCCAAGGACAAAAGAAAGCATGCGCAAAGGACGGGGTGGGGGGCCGGAAGGGGGAGGAGAAGAAGATGTGACTGGTTTCGGGGAGGTAATTATCATATGTATGTTTATTCTGGGAAAAGGAATTAATATGTGTGTAAAAGACAGTATATAAGCAGGACCTTTTCTATACTAAACATGGACAGTTTTGGTGGAAATATCTCCTCCTTCAGCCAGCGTTGTCATTAAGAATGCCTGCTTCTTAATGCTACAGTGATGTAAAGAAGCGGCTTTTGAYCCATTTCAATAACGCCTGCTTGCTCCGGTCCAAAAAGTCCAAGTGGTATACAGCTGTTTTCAGTACAGGTGTTTTTCTGTCTTTAATAAAATACTGCAGATTTGGTTTTGATGAAGAGACTTACTCAACAGTGGTAAATATGTTACTTTAAGATCTCCTTTAGTATAGTAAATACTGTAGGCTCCAAAAGGATCATGCTTCAAAAAAATGAAAATATKAAGTCACACCTGTAAACACATGAACTATATCCTCACTACGCTGGCTGGGCATCAAACCAAGTATACAGAATATTATTGAGCTGACAGGTCAGAGAAGTTATCCCTTTGGTTGTCATGACTAAAAAACTCTTACTAAAATTACTATAATTTTGACAAATGTGTGAAGGACTGTAAGCTGCTCAGAGTGCTACAGTATGTATTATACATTTTTATAACATCATGTCTCTATTTTCAAATACAGTTTCCAAGAATCCATATCCCTTTTCACTTGTTTTTCTGAGGAATACTACTGAGAACGACTATTTTCTGTCTCATAATTTGTGTTCTATTTACACGATTACTCACCAGTACAGCATAAAGATCTCTAAACTAATTTTAAGAACACAATCCCTTGACATTCCAAGGAGTCTTTAAACAAAGGATGGACCTTTGAATAGACAATCAAATCTAGTTCTTGGTAGTCAGGCACATTAATGTAATTTAGATTTTGAAAAATAATATTGAAAAGTGCATTATCATAATACCACGCTAAGCATTAAAATGTTTCATAATGGTTTCAAAGGCAATTGAAAGTAATGAAGTTAAATCCTTCTGTGAGTCAAGCTGGTCAGGATCTCTTTCCTTCTTTTATTTTTTTTTTTTAAACAATACAGTTTTTTCCACTGAGAAATGTTCTATTTTTAAAAAAGGTCTTACTAACTGCAGAAATTCAAGGAGAGACACCTGGGATGTGGAAAGTCAGGCTGAAGTCCCTCTTCCATCTAATTCTCTCAGCCTCGTACCTCCTATTGGAGCTGTTCCACTTTGTATAAATAACTAAATACTCACAGGAGTCAGATCTTGGATCAGGGTCTCCAAAACCTAGCATGTGCATTCTACTCCTTCAGCTAGAGTAAGATTCTATTTTTGAYCCTAAAAGTTTCAGAATGTGTTTTTACTCCAATTTCTACAAGGCAAAACAACTCCAACAGGGGGAAAAAGGAGTTCCATGCTGATAGCTAATGGTATGGAGATTTGGGGAATTAGTTCAGATGTGGGAGAAGCAGATTCAATTCCCTGGTCTAAACCAGGAATTAAAAAGATTTGAACCTGCATATGCTGTCCCCTAGATGACTGTCCTAACTACTGGACTATATGCTGTTTTCTGAGGTCTCTTTCTAACTCCCATACACCTAAGAGCAATCCTGAATGTACTCCAAGTGAAAAGGTTTTGTTTATTACAGTAATATTTTTTTACTTCACCTCCCAAACCAGTAAAATGCTTGAGATGGAGCTTGGAAAGATTCTGTACTGTACTAATGTTACATCTCTACACATATGCTTACATTGCTTCAAATGCTTCCAAAGGCAGATGCATAAAGGTTGCTTTTAAACCTATATTTAGGAAATATACAGTTGGATCTGATTTTCAGAAGCACAGTGTCAGTACTAAGGTGCTCTCTATGGCCTTCCTACAGACATAGCKGTCTAGTCACGGCTTTTCACTACAAATTTTTTTAAACGAAAAATCCTGGCCTCTGTCTGTATTTGCATTCTTTTGTATTTTATTATAAACACTTCTGTACACGTGCAATAATTTTAAAGCACCTACTTATGCACTCAAGGAATTTAGTAATTAAAGCTAATAAACAGAATTAATTAACTTAATTAAGTTGTATAGATCTGTATTATCATACAATTTAAGCAAACCTATGTTTATTTCAGTGAATAAAATCAGAATGTTTTTGATAACTTAGATAATTTAGAACAGCCTTAGAAATAATGCAAAAAATCTTTTACATTGCCAAAATTCTGGCAAAAAAAATGTGCGGYGAATAAATCTGAATTTGTTTATTATAATTTTAAAAGTGTTTTAGTTGAACAGAGTTGTCTAAAGTAAGATTTTATATGGATGCCTTTACTTCCTCAGTACAACCACAGGGGTTGGTTGTTTAAATCAGGAGAGTTAATTAACCACATGTAATTTTACTTTTTGTAATAGCCAATGCTTCAATAGCCTTCGTTGATTTTTCTAACTTTTATTTTTTTATTGTGCTCAGACTCCTAAAATGTATCTATGGTGTACAGCATGAAACTGAAGGAAGTTTATGAACCATGCTACTATCTAAGTGCCTAAATAAAATCTGCAGTGTTTCCTATAATCTTTTCTGTAGAAACGCAGAAAAGCCTAAACTGAATGGATTCTATTAAGATACAATATAGGATTCTGTATTGACTTTAAGAACTATTATCATCTCCTTGACTAACCCTTAGCTGCCAGCAGACGCTGTCCCAGACCAGTACATACCTAATTGCTCTGTGAAAAGGCCGTTTCCCTACCTCATTGAGCCGGATGATGTGATAAATTTGCCTCAGGTACTCGCTACCACCTGGTTTGTGGCAGATATCCAGGACCATCATGTTTATATTCTGCTCAGTGAATCCAACTGCAATACCTCCTTCCTCTACCGTTGCACCTTTAGCTGTGACAGAAGCACTAGAATATAGAAAAAACACAGTCTTAAGTTAAATTTCTAAAAAGCAAAATACTAATACAAACTCAGAATTACATGTTCAGAAAAAGCTGAAAGTATTTACACAAACGTTGTTGTACATGTGTCTCACATAATACATGCTAAACATACTAATTTCAATCACCTTAATTGTAAAGAAACACATAAAACATTCTTTACTCTAAGACTATAGAAGCAGCAAGTATTTAGTTTCCTTTAGAGAAGTATCTTTGCTTCTAGAAATGGCATTTACATTCTATCTCTTTGCATTTCTCTTTGCCTGTCACAGCACATATTAAAGCCTAATTAACATGTCAGAAAGGTAGCCATTATTAAGTATAGAAGTTTTAAATTGAAATATTTTCCTTCCCACTAGTATGTTGTTAACCATTTACAAAGTACCTACTTGCCACTTGTTGCACTTTTTGCCCTGTACTATTCCTTTTTTTCCAGTATTTGTGAAACTGCTACCAAGTAAAATCTGAAGGTGACATTCCCAAAAGCCTCCACAATTATGCATTCAAATCTCTGATCACTGTCAGACTGCTCTCTCTGTATACAAACATATGTTACTAGCTTAGTATTGTTACTGATAAATTATTGTTACTGATAAATCCTAAGAAAGAAAAAGTACTAAAATTTTCCTCAAATACCAGAGCTGCAACACAGGTATTTGACATATATGTGTCAAAATCTCAAAAGACTAACAAGGATTTATTGTTCTTCCTACAGGCACTATTGAATTAATTTAAAATAAACCAAAGAAACATTCACATTTTTTTAAAAAAAAAATCAATATTGTATTGTTTTAGAAAGAAACCAAAACACCACCCCCCCAAAAAAAACAAAAGCACTGTGGTTGCAGTTTACTTTTGAAACTGTGCAATGGTTACAAAGTCAGTCCTTGGGAAAGTTGCTGTTTGACCTGCAGGCTCTCTGAAAAGCTGCACAGCTGCTGGACATTAAAGCTGATATTGCTTCCACACGCAGCTTCAGAATGTCCTACAGAGCAAATGGTTTCAAAATGTAAACTATAATTTTGTTCTTTGCTGAATGGAAGTAAGTGATACTCTGTTATTATGGTGTATTTTACAGAAAAGCTTCAAAAATATTGATCTTTAAATTAAAGCACACTTAAGGGTGATATTTGATGCCACGTGCAGATACAACCTGAATTTCTTGTCAAAATTCTTAGCGACTAACATTGAAAAAGCTAAGGACCTCTGACAAAGGAATGTATCAGTGCCAGCACCCAAATTGTATCCTTTGCTGCCTGTTACTGTGCAGGTGAAGCAGATGATTGGATTCAGGCAGCACTATGATTAATGACTTCCTTTCCGGATTTGGGACTGCCTATCAATCATGTCATTAGGAAGAATGTGCCCTGAGAGAGGCAGACCTCAGCCAAGGAATAACTGCATTCATCTTAATCTGTATATGCACCCAGCCAGCAAGGTCAGGGTCACCATGATGAAAAACAATAATCTTCAATTCAACAAATTACTTTGCAAAGACAGACATTTCTTTTCTTCTCAGGACGTGTGTTTTTTAGAATCTAACGTGACTGTTTACAGCTCCGGTGCTACCGCAAACTGAAGGTTATTTTAATGAATAGTAATACTTTCAGGCAGTACACAAGACAGGCAAAGAGTGTGACTGCCACTTTCTGAACCTTTCAATGAGGACTATAATTTTTGAAATATTCTTTAAAATTAGGTTAATATATAATATTTAGACTTTTTATGTAAGTAGCAATCCTGATAGTAATAACAGTACAAAATCAAGCAAGGATTTTACTTATAAATACCCACTGCACTTCAAAGGTATTTCTATAGCTGTGCAGGTCAGTCCCAAATATTTTTTTTTTTTTATTTTATAGGGTTTTTTTTTTTCTTTCACATGCTGTATCTATTAGAAATCTATAAACATGTATAAATATGAATACACATATGCATGTGCATACAGCTTCAGCAAAAAAATCCTTTAATTATGAAACAGTTACATAACACCAACTTAGATTTTCCAATATAGTAATGTCTGTTACAAACAACTCACATGAATAACATAGATCTCCTCTTGAAAGACTGCTTTTAGTTTAGTAATTATGTGACTGCTATTTTCTTTAATGGAATATTTGAACTTCACTTTTAATATATTAGTTTTGTAATTTGCATTTGTAATAACATTTCTCTCTACATTTCATGTCTCAGCTATTTATAAACTGGATCTTTCTTTTCCAGATATTGACTCATAATATTTAAAAAAAAAAAAGGAAAAATAACATTCATATTAGATATTAGACTTCCATTGCAGAAATGCAACTGAAGTCACGGCTGTCAGTTTCATAACTGTACTAAGTAACTCCTCACTTGGAGAGCAAGCATTGTATTCTTTATTATCCTAAGCTTAAAATTACCAGGCCTAGTCACAAACTAGTTCTCTCTTTAGTTGACACTGTACATATAGAGAAAACATTTTCCCGTTTTTACTTTCCACAGTCTGATACCTAAAGCTTAAAACCTTACTGCTGTGGTATTTTACAAAAGAAAATACAGTACTATATTAATTTAAAATTGTCATTTTTACAAGATGTGCAAAAATTAACTAAAGTTTTTGTTTGTAGGAATTATCCACAATACTGTCTGCCTGTTTTTTTTCAAAGTATCTATTCTCTCAGTGACATTAGAAGTTGAATTATGGGACCATTATGTTAAGTATGAATTTACAAATTATCATTATGATTTTTTATTCTACAGCTCCTTCAGTCACTGGCATGTGGCTTCAATCTTTCAATCATTGGATCATATCTTGTAAATCGGAATAAAATGAAAATCTAAAGATAATAAAGGTCAATATCAATGTGCATTTGTGTGACACTATTACTTATTGCTGCTACGCACATTAACTCACTACTCATAGAAACAGGACACTGTCCCTTAAAGCACTGCACAAAAGCCTGTTCACTGGTATCATTGATTCCAAACTACAGACACTGTATCCTTTGTTTATATGGACAAATCCTGACATGACAGCAATGACTGCAACCTTCAAGAATACACACTGAAAAAACCAGCAATCTTACTTTCAGTAGTTACAATTTAATTCAGCAAGTCATGTCATTCCAATAAATCTAAATCTTGGAAAGTTGATGAATGGTATTTTACAGAACGATATATGACTGCAACATTAAAACAGACTGGACTAGGAACACATTGACATGTACACAACTCCTTAAAAATCACAGTAAAGATCTTAATGTCAAATCTGAAGGAAAAATTGGTATTTTCTMAGAAAGGCACAGCAGGATATTCTTCTTGTCCTGTTGTGATATATCCTATTTGCCTCAGGGTTTGATATATTTTAGAATGAAGCATGCTTACTTTTTATTCACAGATTGAACACTGAAAGCTTTTCACAGTTCCTCTTAATTTAATCAACACAGTAAAATTAAATTATAAATACATTTAGTACCTGTTAACATTTTGCAAGATATAACAATGGACTCTCCATATTTTTGGTTCATCATGAAAATATGAAATCTTGTACTACTATGAACATATTGTTCTGATGAAACAACCATATTTTACTATTTCAGCAATGAAGTTACAAACCCATGGTATAAAGTCATCAATATTAAGGACTAATTCACTTCATATAAGATCACTGCTCATCTCTTTTCCTTAAAATTGAGCAGTGGCCAGAAACATGCCAATAAAGAGCAAACAACAGTATTTAAAAAATATTACGTTCTTACCTGTCTATGCTCAATTTTCTTGCCTTCAGCAACTGGTTTTCAATCCAGTTTGGTCTTTGCTGTTCAATGCTTTGTATAATCTTCTGGGTCACTTGCTTAGGACCACTCTTCTGTTTTCCCATAATACTTTCTAAGCACACACGAACTAAACTGAGTTTTTCTTTGCTCCATCTGTCAAGTGTTGCACCTGTTAAAAATTCTGCAGTATTTCCATCCTCAAATATCCGACATATAATTACAATCAAGTTCCAGACAAGCAGACCAGCTTTCTTCAATTCAGCAAAGTTTCTTGACATTTTTCTCTCAGCCAGAAAAAAGAAGTATTTAATTGGGGGAGGCAAACATGCAATCACTGTAGGTAACTTGCTGATTACAATAGATACTGCCTGAGCTGCAAGCCTTGTGAAGCCTTAAAAATAGAAAGAAAAAATTATATGATTAACATTATAGTTCTAACATAGTATGCTCCTGAATGTTGTATGATAATTTCTAACTTCCTTTTGTACTAAAAATCAGTAAAAAGCTTAAGAATTCAACACTGTAGTTTCACTTCTATTATGGTTTCTGCACATAAATCCCACAAAGTCTAAACAATTACATGAATTAAAAGCAGAAAATTTAGAACTTAGACTGTAACTCTCTTAACAATTAGTCCTGCTGTGCACAGTCATTGCAGGATTAATGAAAAAGACAATACTCAGGTATTCTGAATGGCAAAAGGTTGTTTTCAAAATTGTACTATTTTTTCAGTTACATGACTGAAGCACTGCACTAAGTGTATCAGAATACTACATACATTTATAATGTCTAGTTTTTCATCAGACCTTTTCTGTGTTCAAAACTACAAAATTTCAGTTTATTATCTTGCATATAAGCATCTAYTCTAGACAACACTGCATTTTAAAGATTTTAGATAATAACTGTAGCTATAAAAGTAACTACAGAAAAYGCGCTGCTCAAAACCCAAGACATATCACATTCCTTCTGAACCATGACCTGAAATGATGAATGCTTTAGGCACTGTGGGCTATGAAAATATATACCAGAAATCAGCTTTACATCCAATCACCTTCAAAACACCTCCTATTCTGTATTTTATTACTTTCTTTCTTAACTGTTTCCACAACCAAGCAGTAGAATATTCCACATCAGCTTCAGTGCTTTTTTTAGTCAAAAATATATTGCTGTGTTGTAAAGTTGAGATGAATGACAGTCCTAAATGAAAATATGATAATTAAAAAGAAAACTGGTTACACTCATTGAGGCCCAAGTATAGGCATTATTCTTCACTTTGTTTTGAATCCCATCTGACTACTGTCAGATGATAAAACCATCTTGAGTACTATTATTATCAATACCATAATACTGATTATTTTCAAAACCTTGTTTGTATACATATGGGTGTAAGCCTCAAGAAAGAAGAACTGAATTTTAACGCAAAATACTTTCAAAACCCCAACCACCAGAGGATGTTTGGAAATAGTTTGTTCATTCTCGAACTACAACACTCACAAAATGTCACTGCCCAGTTTTGGCAATAAAGGAGTAAAAAATTCTCATGACAACCTTACAGGATGTATTGTACATATCATATACATATATAAATATAATGTATAAATTTCACCTACATTTCCCAGATTCCTTTCTCTTCATTTCCCGAGGAGTGTAATTCCATTCCTTTGGAACAGTTTTCAGTAAACTTTCAGGAACTATTTGCTTGTGCTGGTATGTTCCATAGTTTTCTGTTGCCTCCCATGAATGCATCAAAGAAATTATCTGTTTCACTATACCCTTGACTGAATTAATCAAAGTCAACTTCAAGCATCTGATAACTTCTGGTTCTGACTCTCCACAACTGGAAACTTCAGAAGGAACAATTATTAAATAATCAGTAAGTGTAGTTATTTGTTCAAATCTGTTTCAGATAGTGTTTTCAGAAGTCTTATAAAAAATAATATCATTATGATTCATAATAAATTAGACCTATTGGTCTGTTACAAATTAAAGAAAGTACAATGCAAAGCAATATAGCATCTTGGTACAATATTAACACAGTACTGGAAAAAAACCAGTTTATTTTCTTCATCTTCATTTTTTCATTTATATATTTACAAAAAAWTTGATTTAAGCTGATTGATGTCTTCCTTTTTTAAATGCAAAACATTTAATTACTTGTTAGGCATCAACGAGGCAAACAGATACACCTTTTATTTCCACTTCCTTGTCTTGACAGTGTTAATGAAGTTGCATTTATTAGATACCCAAACTGTTATACTACAGACAGTAAAGGAAAAAAAAGATATTTTGGAGATAAAAGCACATACGAATAATAGTCATCAACAGAAACACAGCATGTCATCAGAGACTGCATGTTCAGAACACACCATCCTAAATACAGTTATTGACATTACAAGTATCAATCTTCTCCACATTCTTAATACTAGAGCAAACTGCTGTTTCTCCATTGTCATGGAGCTGCAATTTTCAGGCAGAGTGTTGCAGAGCATATCAGAGATGTGTTTTGACATGGTCGATCTTTAGATCCATTGCTCATGCTTTTCCTTTCCTCTACTTTTTGCTGATCTAATCATGGCCTTTCTGAAAACTTCAATGCACCATTTCTCTGTTTTTCTTGCTCTTACATCTTATGCTTCTACTTTTTGCAATCCCATTTTTTCCTGAGAAATACCTGAGCACATTCATTTTCTATTTTATGATGCTCCTTATTTTATTTCCCCTTCTGCATTCTCCCATTTTCTTCCTCTTCTTTTCAGCTCTCCAGCTTTTAATCCATAATTTGCAATATGACCTCACCTCTCTTTTCTGGTTGAATACTTCTTTTCTTTGGGAAGAGAGTCAGTTGCTCTCCTTATGAGGGCAGCTCTCCCTTTCAATGGAAAATTAAGAGGCTGTCTTCCTCTTAGTTGAGGGCAAAGTCTATATGCTCATCTGATTATTTCTCCCTCAATAGAAGTCCTTCCTTCTCTTTTCCTACTCTTCTTTCATACTTCCTTACTTTTAAATCATGGTAAAGGTCTGGAGCTGTTAAGCACATAGAGGCGAAGAGGTCTCTATTGGTAGAGACCTATAAAAATGTTCTGCAGCCAGTCTGCTGGTAAGAGAGACACTTAAGGCAATCAGACTCCTGCTCAATGACACTGCTCTGCAACCTTTGTGTTTTTCAAAATTTTCACCACTCCTACTATGGCCTGATTGCACAAAACCCTTCAATGATAGTATCATTTTGAAGTAAGCTACCATAATTTCACTGGATTTATTAATGTAAAAATAATGTTTACTATATGTCTGAAAACCAACAAGATTTAACATCAGATTTTAAATACTTATTAATACCTTAAATACCTGTCATATTGTGTAAGTAATTCCACAACAGCTCTTTTTCCATGTAGGACTCAAAAGCAATGCCAAGAGATTTGGGTGATAAAGTGCAGTAAGACAATACTGTGAAGATTGTTTCAATCAGAGTGGGCTCTTTGTTATTTTCCTGCTCCAAGAGAGAACTTTGTGCATCACAATTCAGTGCTTCATTTCCTTCAAAATAAAAACATGGCTCCAGTAATTTCCAAGTAATTCAAGGTCTCAGTAATAGATAATATTAATCAAAACAAGCTGCAAAGTGTATCTGAATAATACTTCAAACAGTAACACTGATACTGAAATCTGATTTTTCTCTGCATAATGACAGTTTACTGTTTTCCTGAATTATGTGTAGCCAATAAAAAGACTCAAGTATGTTTTCAAAATATGAATATGCCTATTTAATTCAAAATTAAGTCAGTATATAATTGGAAATTGATTATTTACTGAATATTAATCAGAACTAAACTGCGGAATCAGTCAAAAAGCTATTACTGCTTAACTCCTCTTACTAATATATTAGTAATGAAACAATAAAATCACATTTAGATATAAAAAAATTGAGAAAAGTAGCAGCTGCATATTCCCCAAAATGTGCTGGGTTTTTTTTTCAGTATAAGGTGAAGCTCTGAATAAAATAGTTCCCGAAAACAAAATCTCAGCCCTGCTAAGATACAGATTTTAAAGACAAGTAGTGATTATCATAGAGTTCAATGCTAATTTTTACAAATATTTACAAATGTTTCTGACAATCATTATAAAGGAATCTCACAGCTGACAGATAAGGATGACTTTAAAACTCTTGGAATCAATGCAACACCATGACTTTGACTTGTGCTAATGTCGAAGACTTGAGCTTCCCACCTGTCTGTGGATTATGCTTCCAATGTTAACAACTGTAAGAAATGACAGAGCCATAACCTGTTCAATACTCTTAATTTAAACTCCTAATTTGCAAAACCCATGGTTTTGCATTTGTAAAAATTATTTAGATAAAGTTATTCTTTAAAATGTCATTGCTTTCTACCAGTTTGGTTGTCTTTACCTTTAGCAACCTGTGGAGGAGAAAGCTGGGAGAGGGTAAATTTCTACGYTGCATCTCTCTAGAGGTTCAGCCTTCAAAATATACCACAATGGAAAATCATTGCTTTCAACCCAAGTTTGAATGACTTGAGAACTAAAAAATCTCATTCTCTTCTTAATTACTACAACCTAATTCATGCATTACTGTAAAGCATTCAGTCTAGGTAATATCAACTACCTTAATTGAAAGAGAGGATGTAGAAAGCTGAAAAACATGATCAGTGATTTTATAACCACCAAGCTCTGGTCTTTTTTTTTCCCAAGGCAGCAGATAGACCAGCAATAAGAGGGTTTTTTTAAATAAGCCTTCTTTTTCCTACGAGTTGAATGAGTTGACATACATTGTTTTCAATGCCAGACACTTCTGAGTGAAGAATCAAATAGATTCCATTGATTTGTTCAAACGGAGGATATGTATGTCAAAGAAATAGCCATCAAAGTAGAAAAAGCAATTCAAATGATGAGATGARAATTTGAATTGAACTCTGATTCTACCACTGTAAGTATTTATTTTTTAAATTAATTTTAACTGAACTCTAGGGAGGACGTTTGCTAAGATTTCAAGCACTACATAAACTGTCTTTGCAGTGCATGATAGGAAAATAGTTTGTTTAAAGCTGCTTATGACTTGAAATTAAGCCTAAATTTGTTTTATGGCCATACCACATGTAAAGTTTTAGTCACAACTTAATAACTTTTCAATTTAGTCTACCAGAAGATTTCGATAAAGAGAAAGGAGCATAAAATAATCTTGTAGCAGGGGCTATATTGTAATAATAGTGTACAATGCAAGTCTTGGGCTTTTAAGCAAAGATCTTCATGAATCACTGGTAAATCATTCTGTGGCTAAACATAACCAGATAACAAGTGTTCATCAGCTTTTTCTTCTTGTTTTACTAAAAAGTAAATGTTGCCCTTGCTGTAAGAACAACCTGAAAGCTCAGATTAAAATGAGTTTTCTCACTGGTAAATGGACATGGATCATAGAATCACAGAATCCTTTGGGTTAGAAGGGACCCTAAAGAACAATGTCAGTTGAAAAGCTTAGCTAGCTGATCAGTATAGCTGGTTAAATATTATGAATTAGGAATATACAGAAAGATACGTAAATTTCTCTTGCCTTAGATTTTTTCTTTTCAGGTTATTAGCTCACCTGTCAAAACATTAGATATTCATCTCAGTTTGAACTCCAATGCAGCCTCCTTGTTAATTATTACATATGAACAGAATTTATATGATAGGCAATGTACTTACTGCCAGTGATGCTTCCCTCTGCACATTTCTCTCTTTTTCACTGACTCAATTTGTATAGCAAAACCTAATTTGTGAAGGGAACCTAAAGCTCCCATAGGTAGCTCAAAGGAGATGCTTCTTTTCATTTTAGCAGGACTTACATCCATCCATCAATTTAAATATACATATACATATATATACCTACTAAAATTTTAAAAATCAGCTGTTTGTTATTTCCAKATAGCATAATGTTCTATATGCATAAAAGACAGAAAACCACCAAAATACTATTCTTTTTAAGAAATATCTTTAGAAGAAAATTATGTATCTATTGAATTACAGCTATGCCCTAACTATTCACAATGAATCATTCTTCCTATGACAAAATAATGCACTAAACCTCTTGGGACACTACCATGTATTTTAAAAACATAACTTCAGAAAGACAGACTTACAAGTGCAATTTACCCATATTTCTTTTTTACTGATAGAAATACCACCCAGTAATTTGCCAACGTTGTCACTCATCCAGCACATATCTGCTACTAGTCTAGCCATTGCTGAATTAAAAGAAACAGCAGTGGTTAGATTAGTAGCAAATTAAGTGCTGGATGAGTGATAATGTTAACAAATCTTGCTGAATTTAAAAAATCCTCTGTTACTGACCCTAGAATTCACTCTCTGGTGAATCCATACACCACAGCCAAGCTCTAAACAGTTATGTTGTCTTTTTTGACCAAAAGAGGTAATCAGAACTCAAATTCATGTATGCCGTTTCATTAGAAAGAGGAATTGAAGATGGAGCAAATTATTTCTGATACAGGTCTTTAATTTGCAAAGAGAGTGAAACCTTTTCTTTCTTTACTGAATTTAACAGATTCTTTAAATCACAGCAGCTAATGAGGATACACAGAATGCAAAAAGAATATGCTTTTTTTGTTTATAGAATCAAATCCTTCAGCAGGCACTCTGTAGTACATGACATCCTCAGTGCTTCTTATCTCATTAATTATTTTTCTGTTCTTTTATTGTATCTGACCTGGTAGATGATTTTACTTTTCTTTGAGTTGCTCCTCTCCAACAACTGGTAGAATCTATTTAACTTTGACCATGGCTTCATTTTGGCAGAAAATGTATTATTTTAAATTCCAAAAAGAAATTTTATATCACAAATTCACRGAAGAGTCACAGCATATTCTAAACTTGAGGGGACCCACAATGGTCATCAAATCCAACTCTTAAGTAAATAGCCYATATGGGGATTAAACCACACAACCTTAACATGGTTGTTAATAGCACCATGTTCTAACCAACTGAGCTAATCTCAAGGTCATATTTACTCTATCCTGAATAAAATGCAGATCTTAAACCTACCCATTTCAATACATTACAGATAACAATAAACCCTGTATTAGCTGCTACCTGTGAATCCAATAAATACTAAATTTATAAAAACTGAAAAGCTCAGCATGGAAAAAAGGCATTTATAACATCTATATCATCTGCTCATAAATTATTAATATATCAGCAAACTACTTCTGTACCTATAAATTACTGTCACCAGTCCCACAGCTTTTTAATCTCATTCATCTCCATTTAGAATTTTTTCTCCTTAAACAACTTATTTTCAGTTATTTAACAAGAAGCTTCCATTAATGAATCTCTAAGTTAGTGACTTTCATAAATTCTATCTTATCTAGGGCCAGTAGGAAAAAAAAAATACCACTGTCAGAATACCTCCAGCACTGATTTTATGAGACAGGATGCAGAAATTGAGATATTCTGACAGCCAAAATTTGATGAGGCAATATTGAATTTAGTCCTAGGATCACATTAGCTCCCTTGTATTTGTTGTGGTTTGGACACTGCCCAAAAGCCAGGCACTCACAACACCTGCTCACTCTCCCCACCACCAGAGAAGTGTGAAATCAAAAATTAGCAAAAGGGTTCATGAGTTGAGATAAGGAACAGGAAGAAAATATTTTCACGGATTAAACAAGCTCCACTTAAGTTATGAAGTGAATTTATTACTGACAAAGTCAGAGGAGGAGAATGAGAAATAAAGTAAAATCCTCAAAGACACCGATCTTCTCTCCACTCTGTCCCCCCTTCTCACCGACATGCAGGGAGGGGAGAACAGGGTGTGGGGTTGGTCAGTTCAGGGTGTGGGGTTGATCAGTTCAGGGTGTGGGGTTGGTCAGTTCATCACCGGATCGATCTGCGGCTGCTGAGGGAGAGGAGTCCTTCCCTTGTGTTGCCGTGGGGTCCCTCCCACGGGAGACAGTTCTCGGTGAACCTCTCCGGCGCAGTTCCACTCTCACGAGCAGCACTCTACGCACATCTGCTGCAGTGTGAGTCCCCCCACGGGCAGACAGTCGTCCCAAAACTGCTGCACTGCGGGGTCCCTCGTCCCCGGGGTGCAGGCCCAAGGCCAGGCTGTTCCATCTCAGGAGCAAAGCCTCTCTCTCCATGGCTCTCCTGCTGGACACAGCCCCTTCCCGGCATCCGCCTGCTCCGGCGTGGGCACCTCCCTCCTCCACGGGCTGC